TTACCAAAGGTCACCACCAGTTAGGGGTAGTACAGGGATTCAAACCCGGCTTGTGGGGCTGCCAGCTTGCCAGTACCATGATGGCAATGTTATCTGGCCAACAGAGGGAGGATTGCAGTTCCCTGGGCTGATGGAAGACAGAAAGGAGAGGACCAAGAAAGGACTGAACGATTGAGGACTTAGAAATGTTTAGCAATTATCCATCTATCTCTGTCTCTCGTCTATCTACCTGCAGAAGGCTGTATCCAGTTACAAATGCTCACTTCTACAAGACTCTCTGCTAATGCTGTGTCTCATTTGGTCTTTGCTTCAGACTACAACATGGGCACTATTACCCCATTTTACAGATGGGGAAACGGATACTCAAAGATCACAGAGCAGATTAGAGGTAGACCCAAGCTTTAACATTTTGTTTGTCAGGCTCCAAACTCACCATTGTGAACAATTTACAACTGCTGCCCTGCTAAGAATTTCCAAAATTGTTCAGGTTCTCTCTCGTCTAATCAGTGAAAGTTTTCCAAGAGCCTATTTCCTCCAGATATTTAAAAAGTCAACTATACCCATGAGAGTATTTCAGGCATGGAAAGCCAAGACACTTTAGCAAGAAAACAAACAAACAAACAAACAAAAAACACACACAAAAAACCAAAACAACAAAAAAACAAAACCTAAATGAAAGATCTCCGCAAGTGAGATCCCAGTGGAAAGAACAGGTCATCAAAGAAGGAAGTACCTTTCTCTGAAGGGAGGAGAGAACTTCCACTTTGACTATGACCTTGTCTAAATATGATCAGAGTCGGTGAACTCAAAAGGCTTCCATAGCCTTGGCAACTCATGACAAGAGCCTAGGGTGATTACTGATGCCATAAACAAGAATGTCAATTTGTTAAGTCAACAACAGGAGTCACTGTGCACTTACTCCTCATGTAGGATCTCTGTCCTTAATGTGCTGTACATTGTGATTTAATGCTATAACTAGTACTCAAACAGTATTTTTCACTTTTTTTTGTGTGTGTGCGCAAACTGTTGAAATCTTTACTTAATATATGCTAAACTGATCTTCTGTATATAAAGAGAATTGAAAATGAATCTTGATGTGAATGGAAGGGGAGAGGGAGCAGGAAAGGGGAGGGTTGTGGGTGGGAGGGAAGTTATGGGGGGGAGGAAGCCATTGTAATCCATAAGCTGTACTTTGGAAATTTATATTCATTAAATAAAAGTTAAAAAAAATAAAAAGTCAACTATAAATTTTCCCTTAAACTTCGTGTTCAAAAGATCATATGAAATTCTTCAAAAAGTTTTTTGGAAAATAGAATTAAAAGATAAGTTTTTTTGTGTGTAAAATGATTTGAACTCCACTCATATTTTTCCACACACCACACACGTTTTCTATGAATTTCTGAAGACTCCTTGTAGATAGAGAAACAGTCATTATTTAGTTAGTATTAGATTGAACAGCCTTGGGGTGGGTGTTCGGGGCACAAGTTAAGATGCTACTTGGGGTGCTCACATGCCGTAGCCAAGTGCCTCATTTGAGCCTTGGCTTTTCTGATCTCCTTGCAGGTGTGTGCCTTGATTGGCAGCAGGTGATGACTGCTGTGCTTGGGTTCCTGGCACCCACGTGGGAGACCTGGATTGAGTTCTGGGCTCCTGGCTTCAGCCTGGCCTACTCCTTGCTATAGCCAGCATTTGGGAACTGAACCAGAGAATGGAAGATCTCACTTTATCTGTGTGTCTCCATCTCTCTTCTTCTGCCTTCCCAATAAAAAAGAAAACAAGTTTAAAAAAATTAATCCTTTTTAAAATTAGGCTTTTAATATTCTAGTCTTTTTAACTGAAGAGTATTTAGGTCAAAAGTCCAAGTAACCAAAAAAGATTAAAAAACCTCCACTCCAAGGAATCCAGCTCTCCTCCCCAGGGCTCACGACTGCAGAAGTTCCTGTAATGCTTCCTTAGATTGATGTTGGCTATAACCTGGTGGATGGCTATATCCTTATTTTGGTACCTGATGTTTCTTCTAGATCCAGAACTTGACAATCTTCTCTGTTAGTGCATATTGCATTCCCTCACCGGTTAAACAGCAATGTGGAGACCGTGCTGTGGACGCAGGAGAGTTTAACTGCTGAGACCCGAGCTGCTCGGTGTTGTTGCTGTCTCTGGCCTTGTGCCACCACAAGTGACGTTGCAATGGGCATCCTTGCACCTATGCTTTGGTATACTTGCCCCAGGTGGGTTCACATTCTTGGAAGTGAGACTGTTGATTCAATGGGGATTTTGGCCTCTTTTGAGCATCCCCAAATGCCAAGACAACTTCAGCTGAGCGATGAACATGTGGTGCATGCTAACCAAGAAGCAAGGTAGCACTGTGGGCCATGCGCCACCCTGAAATCAGCCAGTCTCAAGTCTACAGTTTGTGGCCTGTGTGATCTGGGGTGAATATCTAACTTTTCAAAGCCGTCAACATTTAGGTGAAACAATAACAATAATTTATTCAGCTAGGTATGTACCAGTACTAGTTGGAGGTGCTGGACTCAGCCTTATGATGTGAGTGAGTACTGTTAGTATTCCCTCTTATAGCTGAGGGAACTAGGCACAGAGAGGTGCTATTGTTTGCCCAAGGTTACACAATTGGTAAGTGGAAAACCAAGATTTACCCTTCAGGAAGGCTGGCTCTAGAGCCCACATTTTAATCACTTTCTCAGGGGGAAGTTGTATGAAAAGACAGTTAGATAGGTGGGTGGGTGACAGATTGGTGCGGGGAGGGAGACAGAGAGACTGAAGGTAGGTAGTTGGGTGGGTGACAGAATGGTGGGGCCAGGGAGATCGAGAGACTGAGAGGGAGAGGGCATAGCATGGTGCATAGCCCCTGATTCGTATGGTGTGGCTACAGCAGAGACATGATCCCAATCCTCCTCCAAGGCATATCCTTCAGTGATTGACTTGCCGGCCTGACATAATTCCTTGGGGTTTTATTTCCATGATGAGGGAGGCTGGCAACAGAGAATCATGCGACTCCAGAGCTTTGTCAAATCTTACTCAGAAAAGGAGCAGAACTTTGGGACTACATCTATTTCTTAGGGAACTGGGGATCAAATGGTCCTGATTTCGGAAGCTGTAATAATGAGCATGAAAAGTAAGCCTTCTATCCGAGGAAACCAAACAGGGCGGTGGGGCGCGTTACGGAACATGGCCTTGGCTACGAACAACAGACTGTCAGGCCAGACCATCTGCGGAAATTCTTTCTGATAAACTCAAGTGTGATCTTCCAGCGGGGGAAGGAGATTCCCAAAGGGTGAGGTCAATTGTTCCTGGTTCAGGGCTTTCTACCCATTATCTCATTTAATCCTCCCAACAGCTCTCTGAGGTAGGTTCGCTTATGCTCCCTTTTTAAGTAATAAGGAAACCGATGCCCAGAGAGGTGATGTGGTGTGCCCGGGACTCCGTACTGTCGTCCATCACATTTAGCTCGAAGAATGGCAGCAATTTCTCCTCTAGAAAATGTGGGAAGATAGCAGACACTTGACTTTCTGTCCTGAGTCTCCAAGAGGTGGGTAATCTTCTACAACACAGCCGATGGCTGCAAACCTCACAGTTCTCACCTGCCAGGAGAGGGTGGGAATAGTTCACGCACAAATACATGGTTACATGGAAGGAGCCTTATAAATCGTAGAGGATGAAGCCAGCACAGGGCTGATGTTGAAGGAATGCATGCAGAACTAGAAAATAGGCAGTGACGATGTTTAAGATTAGCCCCTTCTGTCTAGATCATGAATCTTCTAGGGAGTAATGAGAATCAAAGTATTTCTTGCCCATGAAGTGGATCAAATACAGCACAGGTCCTGTGTTGTTATCTTCAAGGCAGCCAAGACTGCTGCCATGGGTTGTTTCTAACTGGCAATGGGCTGGACTCCATGTGGTTCAGACTTGCCCTCGGTGGGACTGAACTGTGCTGTCCAGTGCATAAAGACTCAATTTGTAATATGGAAATTGTTAATAAAACTTAGAATAAAAATTCAGAAAGATAGCAAGCACATGGACTAAAGCATTGCTTGGTCCTAGCTGATAGAAGAGTTTATGGGGTGGTAAAAAACTTAGAGGATTATTTTAAGGAGAGAGAGAGTTTCATTATAAAATGATGATAGCTACTATGTATGAGCTTAAGCAAGACTCAGGCCCTGGGCCGTGAGCTTGACACATGTCGGTTTAGTTAGCTCTCTCAATGGTCCTAGGAGGTCAGTGGTGCTATTTATCACATTTTTACTAATACAGAAACAGGATCAGAGAGAGGAGTGATTTCTTGGACTTGCTGGTTTATCCGTTACCATTTCCCCCAAAATGTGGTAATAACAGAGATAAATATTGCAAAGTCACTGTGAATAGCTGGATTAAACAGCCAAGAAAGTCCTACCATGGATTACAGAAACATTACTCCACATATGGTTACAGCTTTTCTTGGATGACATGATGATGGGTTCCCTGGCTCAGATCAAAATCACAAGCTTTCTCGATTATGTGCCTTCACAGGATTTAAAAATTTAGTGCTGTTCTTCTTTGAAGTCCTGAAGCCATGAAGTCAAGAAAAGTAGCCGTGATGATTGCTTGCACCCCTACCAAGCACAGTCCCCTCCCACGCGGAGCTGGCCCAGGGCCAATGTCCCCTCCATCAGCCTCAGCAAGGCTCCCGCCAGGAGAGCCCCTTTGCCAAGGTCAGTGCCACCGCCCAGGAGACAGAGTTCAGCCTCCTGCTGCGGGCGGGGTGAAGAGACAAGAAAACTGCTGTGTTTAAGTGGTTAATAGAGGAGGCACTTGCAGAGAGATCAGCCTGCCACTAAGAACCTTAGTGCAATTCCCAAGTCAAGGTCAGCAAGTTGAGAGAGGCAGGCTTGGATGGGGCCTTGGAGCGTGACTTGTGATCCGGACAGGCCTGCTGCAAATAGGAAACAGATGCGCGGGACGCTAGGGCTCCCTGCGGAAGGCTCTGTAGCGGCCCCGCCTTCAGCCTGAGCCGGCGGCTCGCAGGTGGCAGAAGGCCAGCTCGGAGAGTCACACCAGCGACTCCGGCCTTAAATGGACCTCGATTCCATACAACAAGGAGCACCACTTCCGGTTTCCTCCTGTACATTTCCGTCAGCACTGAAGGCTCTTCCTGTCTCCAAGCCCATTGGCAGGTTTTCCTTTGGGGGAACTTCTTTCTCAGCTCAGAGTTCTTCTCTGCACAGTCTTTCCAGGTACCGTCCCTCCCTCCACACTCGCTGTTGTCGTCACAGTATGCGGCGCGCGAGTTCGATCCCAAGTTCTTTCCATAATTTTAACTTGTCTCTTTCGGCCATCATTCTCCAAGGCCCAGAAGGGCCTGTGTCTGACCCTTAGAGCAACCTCAGGACTGAGCAAAATGCCGGGAACAGAGTAGGTGTTCAGTAAATGTTTGCCGAATAAATAAAGGAAGGAATGGGACCCCAGTCAAGCCCAGGGTAACGTATTTGGAATTGAACTTGGGTCATGGCCGTAAGAGCGCTGAACCCTAGGCATGACTGGGCCACCAAGGCGCTTCCTGGGTAGTAGTTTGCTTGTGTCTGCAAGAACATTTTAATACACCCATGGAATGAGAAATTATTAAGGCTTTTGGAAAGAGGATAATTCAATTTTTAAAACATCCTCAGAAAATCCCAGGAGGAAAGGGAACATAAATAAGTTGGTTAGTGGTATTTCCTGGAAATGTCTTAATGAGATCGCCCATCTGACATCCAAAGCTGTGAGAATATTGTCCCTCATATTATGCTTTTTCCCCAGTTGCATTTTCAATAGGATTGTAATGATAAAATCACGGGCAGAATATCAGAAGAGTTAGCTTTCCAGTTATCCTGAGATTATATTTATGGATTTTGAGGGGTTGTCAAGGCAATGTTGACATCATGGCCATTTTTCATCTCTTCAGTGTGAAGAAATGAGTATGAAATCTTGATATTTGTTAGCAGTTCTAGTAAAGATGTTGGAGGAAAGGATTTAAAAGTTTTGGCTAAAGTTTGTATTATGATAAATTTACCTTACTAACTTTCATTTATTTAAAGTACCCTTGTGGCCTCGAACCATAGTCTAACACTGGGAGTATTTGACTCATTCACCTGACTCCAGATGGAGGCACAGTGGGAGTGATATGGCTAGCTGGGACTGGCCTTGGGCCTGGGCCCAACAGAACCAAATGAAGTTGCTGTGTGGGCCTGCTTGCTGGGGATTCCATTTTAGGGCTGGGGCAATTATTAGGGCTATCAAATGAATGTGACCACAGAGCAGGTCTACTCCTTGGGATATGTGCTAAGTATCCAGGTAGAGGAGGGATCATGGCCAATCATACACATCAGGGAGGAAGAAAGTACCCTCCTTTAACTCTAGTGTCTTATCCCTGTGCACCTGTAGGTTCAGTCCACCTAGAATTCATTTCCTTTTTTTTTTTTTTTTTTTTTGACAGGCAGAGTGGACAGTGAGAGAGACAGAGAAAAAGGTCTTCCTTTGCCGTTGGTTCACCCTCCAATGGCCGCCGAGGCCGGCACGCTGCGGCTGGCGCAGCGCGCTGATCCGAAGGCAGGAGCCAGGTGCTTCTCCTGGTCTCCCATGGGGTGCAGGGCCCAAGCACTTGGGCCATCCTCCACTGCACTCCCTGGCCACAGCAGAGAGCTGGCCTGGAAGAGGGGCAACCGGGACAGAATCCGGCACCCCAACCGGGACTAGAACCCCGTGTGCCGGTGCTGCAAGGCAGAGGATTAGCCTAGTGAGCCGCGGCGCCGGCTGAATTCATTTCCTTATTCTCCCAATTACTCATTAACCCAAACCTAAAATTGTATCCTTCTTCATGAGTGTGTTTAGCAACCAAGCACAATGTTGCAGGTGCAAGTCTGATGTTCATGTATAGGCAGTCCTGACTTTGCTTAAGCCACACTGTCCAGGAAGCATCATAAACAATGGGAAAATTATAATTATTCTATTATGACCTTTAAAAACTCTTATTGCTGATTATAAATGTTCAGGGCAATGAAAAATGTAATGAAACAAACTATTATTTACTGGGTACATGGTAATCTAAAACATTAGAAACATTGAGAATTAGTGTAAAATACTTATCAAATAATTTAAACATTGCTTGCCTTCTCATCAAAAAACTTATGATATGGAATAAACATTTTTCTATGTTTTTCCAAGTTATCATATTTCTGTAGAAGTTTGGATCAGCTTCTAACATTTTCCCTTTGCTCTTACTATGTCATTGTGAAATATCTCCAAGAGCTGTTACTTCCTATGGGACATATTCATTTTTTTTTATCATAGCCACATTGCTTATTTTTATTACTAAGGTTGCCTGCACCAAGTTCCTCTGGCTGCATAGAGTATATCCAACAGTGAAAGCTGTCAGCAGTCCATGGTCAGCTATTTCTTCACTACCTTTACTTACATTTGATTTGAATTTTACCTTCAGGGAAAACAGTTTTCAATTCTTTTTATACTTTCATATTTTCTTGCTACTTGTCTCTTTTGATTAACTGTATTTGTCAAGTGTCATGTGGATTTTTTTTTAAACAAACATGGAGATAACCTGGCCACAAGGTGAGTAAATTTTTTTTTAAAAAGATCTATTTATTTATTTGAAAGGAGGAGTTACAGAAGAGGCAGAGGCAGAGGCAGAGGCAGAGGGAGGGAGGGAGGGAGGGAGGGAGGGAGAGAGAGAGAGAAGTCTTCCATCCACTGGCTCACCCCTCAAACGGCTGCAATACCCTGAGCTGAGCCGATCCAAAGCCAGGAGCTTTTTCCGGGTCTCCCACACCGGTGCAGGGGCCCAGGCACCTGGGCCATCTTTCACTGCTTTCCCAGGTAACAGCAGAGAGTCAGATCAGAAGTGGAGCAGCTGGGGTCCTAATCTGTGCCCATATGGGATGCCAGCGGCACAGGCAGAGGCTTAGCCCACCATGCCAGAGCGTCGGCCCCCTCATATGGATTTACCACTAAAAACCAAGGAAGCAACATAGCTACTGGCTTTGCTGTGTGTGAACTGAATAGCAAACGCACAGTAACAAACCACCACCGATAGACTTTGGAAGAAGTTACTGATCATGATGTGAACCTGTTATTTACAAAGTGATATGTGGGCCAAAGAGCAAGCGGCTCTCCGTTTATATAATTACTCAGTCCATAGATTGTGGTAACTGAAATTTGAACTCTGCTGCTGGAGGACTGGCATTATTTAAACAAATCATGGTCATTGAAATCCACTCACACCAGAGCTGTGTAAATAAGGACTGCCTGCACATGATAGGGCTAAGTCGGAAACACCACGGGGAAGCATAGTAGAGACTCGCCCCTCCCGGCCCGTGGAGCTAGAGGATGTTCCCTGGGATGGCTGCCATGTGAACTGAGACCTGAGAGATGTGGAGGAATTAGCCTTGAGAAGGGGTGATGGTAGGGAAAATGTTCCAGGCACAAGGAACAGGACACACAAAGCCCTGAGTGCAAGAGAACGTAGGGCTGTTGGCGTGGCAGCATGGCTGTGTCGGGCTCCGTGTGGGTGCCCATCTCTTTCCGCTATCTTGGTTTCCTCCAGTTGTGCAGGCTGCTGTTCTTGGGGCTGCTACAGTCGGGACTTGCAATGTTCTCTTTTGTAATAATCACCTGTAGCAGGTGTTGAAGGCCAGTTGGCTGCCACCCCTACCAGAAGACTTCCACCTCTGATCACTGGCAAACTCACCACGAAAACAGAACCAAATCAAGCAGAATGAATTTAGATGTTAGGCTATCTACATGGTAAAGGAAGCACTGATCATTAGATACAAAACCTCTACGTGCAGAAAGGGATAAGTCAGAAAGAGCATCCCATTCACAAGTCACAATTTGGGAGGTTGGTTCATACCTTTCAATGATAAGCCTGATTGTCAATGAAACTAAATACAGAGTAGAGTACTTTCTTTTATGTGGTTAAAATCTGAATTGTTAGTAAGAGCCTTCCAGCGCTGATATAATGAAAATATTTTAAATAGTTCATGGAAAATGTAATTGAAAGATAAATTACTTTTGGTGCAAAAACTTTTGAAACCCCTGCTTTAAAAGAGATCTGTAAAAATTTGTAGAATGGAAAACAGATGCAGAGATTTCAAAAGTTTTGTACCAAAATAAACTTATTTTCTGAATTACATTTTTCAGGAATTTTTGAAGTATCCTTATGCACTGAAAACAAACTCAGATGATTACCACAGCATCCTTACTGGGCAGCTATAAGTATCCTCATTTTAGAGATGTGTACACTGAGGTTAACTCACTGTAGGTCACAGTTTGGGTTCAAACTTAGGAATTATTCCAGAACCTCTCCCTTTAGCTGCTACACTATCAGTATATTTAATCATAACAAATTAAAATATACACAAATGTCAAACACAAGTGAAGACTTTTACAGGTTTCATAAGATAAACAAACCAAGATAAATGAAAGAATAGGGCACGAATGCTCCATCCTTGCAGAATCACGGGTACTTGGAGAATGCTCAAGTCGTTTTAAGACAAGTTTGAGACTGAGTGGAATTCCAGGCATAAGCAATCAATTCAAGATTCTCCTAGTGAAGCCAAACAATGAGATTATCTCAATTATTGAGTTAACAATATCTCATCATCTACAACCTAGCCATGGGTAAGACATTTATTTGAATTAGATAGGAAGGTAATGTCATTTGAAGGAAATTCAGAAAACTTAATAACATAGATAAATGAAACTGACGATGATCTCACACTTTATAAATCTAAACATGGGACCAAGGTTAGACACAGGGGCCCTTAGTGGTTGATGAATGAGCTCAAATGCTGCTTTTTATGCCGTCTATTGGACACCAGAAAGAATTTTTATTTTTCTCTCTTCTAAACAAGGAGATTAAGAAAGAATTAATCCAATTCCACTTAAGCCAAAGTGCAGGAGCAAGAACCAACCTTGAACCTTCTCTATTCAAATAGTGCTTCTCTTGGCAATTTAATCACTAACTCAGTTGTGTAACTTACCAATGACAAGTGCTAAAATACCTAAAAAGTGGAAGTCAGCTGGAGTAGTTCCTCCATAGGCACTGGAGGGAGCCTTAGCTAGGTCCCACTCACATTCTGCCTCTCTGCCCTCAGCTGCCGAAGTTGCTTCTGCACTAGCACAGAGTATGGGAACTCTTCTGAATTTCACAAGAGGGTGGAGGCGCTGAAGCATCCTAGGAAACCCTGCCTCCCTCCCCTCCCCACCCCATCTTGCACTTGTCATGGTTTAGCAGTATTCCAGCCACAGACACTGACAGTCCAGTCAAACTTGAGCAAGGAATGAACGGGCAATTCTGCATGAGCTGGCTCCTGTCTCTGTCCAGCTTTGCTGTGTGCTGCTTCCTTGCTTGTTCCAAAGCACAGTTTAACAAATGAAAATCATGAATAGTACAAATGTAGGCTTTTTCTTTTCCTAAAATCTACAACTTTTCATTGTCCAGTCTCAGCTTCACCTGTATTTTCTCTTGGAAGGGTTCCTAGGTCACCTGAACTCCCTGAGGTCCCCTTGACTCATGACCCCACGACTCCATGCACTTCCCTGCACTAAACATGCTTTTACCATCTTCCCTGCTCATCAGAGGTCCCTGGGGCACAAGTACAGAGTCTGACTTGTTCACTCACGATCTTCCAACACCCAGCACAATGCCTGGCGTAATGCCGGCCCTTGGTCAATTCATTGTAGAATGACTGGCTTTCTTCTTACTTCTCTTTTAAAAAAATGCATTATAAAATACTTAAGACATACATAAATCTGTAAAGAAAACTATTACAACCCCCAAGTGTCGATTATAGATCAAGAAATACAAGCAATAGCAACCTGCTCTCAAGTCTCTGTTTACCACTCTCTAATTTCTTGTGATTGTTCCCATACATTGTTTAATAGTTTTACTACACACATGCCAACTTCTAGTATTGTTTTGCCTATCTTCATAGTTTCTACACGAGTGTTACACTGTGCTGCCTTCTTTCTCCTTCAGCCTTCGTGTGAGGCATTCATGCTGCTGCATTTAGCTAGAGGTTACTATTTTCACTGCTGTGTAGCATTGCCTTGTATGAGCACTCCACTACTAATCTGTTTTCTTGTTGATGGGCCATTTTCCAAGTTTTGCTGTTACAAAATGCCATAGATTTCCTTGTATTTCCAATATTTTTCTTCCTTTAGATCACACTGAAGTATCTACTATGTTGGATTATTCATCAGTCAAAAATACCCTGTACTGGACCTCTGGAATCCACATAGGAGACAGGTGGCAATCACATTATGCTTGTGCAAAAAAATGGGTATCAGTGCATTTGTGGGAAACAGCATGGAATGGTGATAAGAATGCTGATCTGAAAGTCAAACAAGGGTGGATTCCAGTACCATTTCTACTGCTTTGAGGCAGTATTAACACTGGGAATACAAAATCTCAGTTTCAGTTCTGTACAGTGGGGATAACAGTCTTCCATCCACCTCACAAAGTTTTTATAATGATCAAATGAAATAATGTTGCTGAAAAGATTTTGAAATCTGATATATTGTGCAACAATGGAACATCAATAACTAAAATGAATTTCCCAAGCATAATAACACAAAAAGAGCTGTAGCAAAACACCACCACCACAAGAACACAAAACCATTTGTCACCCATCTCCTCTGCTTGTTAGAGCCTACATGTTGTTACCGTTTATGTACATTTAATAGGGGGCATTCTAGAAATGATTCCTCACTCCCAAAGCATAGATTGGAAGAAAATCAGGTTCTTGAGAGAAATATGGATGGATCCATGGGTTTCTCCTATTGATAAAACTTGAATGGGGAGATTGCTGAAATGAGCTGAATTGGTTATAAAAGAGGCAGTTTCTTTAACAGTTTGTTCTCATGCCAAGATGTGTGCTGACAGAGAGTTGTAACGGTTAAAATGCAGATTTTAGACCATGAAAGACCTGGGTCCACATATTGGTGCTACTTTCCTTCTCTCTGAAGAGGATAACCAGACAGCCTAACAAGCCTTTTTGGGAAGAATAAAGAGCATTTACTAAAACTCGGCAGACTTGGTTGGCCCTTTAGGGGATGTGGCTCGAAACCAGGCGTAGCTAAGATTTCCCAACAGGTGAGGTAAGCTTGCTGGGCTTCGTGTTTCTCCTCTTACCTGATCTCACTCTCCTCATATTTTTAAAATGTTGGTGCAGCCATTATGTTAGGAGCAGCAGGTATCATGTGTCTACTGACAGCCGTGAAGAAATGACCGAGGCAGCCATGTTCAGTGAACAAAGAATGCTGTCACTACTAAACCTTTTCGATGTGCCAAACGCTTTTGATTTGAAAGTACTGACTTCAGTTTGGAAACTGAGAAAGGGTAGCTGAGCTCATTTGTCTAATTCATTAGCAAGGAAACAAAGAGAGGGTTTTAAATTTGTTTATGAAGTCGCATGTTAACCATGCAAACTTGGTCTCAAGCAAAGCTAAGAGCAGATGAGATTAAAATCCAGTGTTGGAACTCTGAGTTACAAAAACAGCTCTTTCTGCCGAATTTTTGCTACCCGTATCTGCTTTACCAGAAACTGCTTGTTTTTTCCTTATGGTCATAGTGAGTCAAAGACTGGATTTACTTTGTGTACTTGTACATCTATGTCTGGGTCCTGGGAACTGGCTTGCTTTGTGAATTTACATTTCTTTCCATAAACTTATTCTGAATAAAGGTCCCTCTACATCGAGGAGGAGGTGAAAAATTGCAGGGAGGAGGAATGACAGAACAATGTCCTTCTATTCTAGACGTCTTGAGAGGCTTCCTGGAGGACATATGCCTGGAAAAGATGGGTGGAGACGAGTACATGGAATTTTGCTGTCATGGATTCCTTTTGTTGCTCTCTATCCTCCACTGTTCACTCAAAGAGATTTATTAAGTGGCTGCTGCCAGGAAACATAGCATGGTGGCTTGGGAACCACTGTTTGGGTTTAAAATTCCAGTTCTACTTGCAAGTCGTGTGATCTTGGGCAAGTTTCTTTCTCCTAATCTTTCTCTGTTTCCTCATCTGTAACAAAGGGATAGCAATACCTGTCTCACAGGATCATTGTTGGGGCCTAAGAATTTCTCTCCATGTAGCTACATTTATATCTACATCGATGAACAGCATCTGGTACAACGTAAGAATTCAACAAATGTTAGCTGTTGTTATTACTCTCAGATAGACTACAAATAACAGCTCTGCAAAACTTGGGTAAGGGAAAAACTCTTCTGGTACATTTATGAGTCTTTAGTGTTGATAAGAGAGTTTAAGAAAGCAAATAAAGTAAGAGAGCAGGTGTTTAGCCTAGTTACTAAGATGAGTGTGTTCCATATTGGAGTTCCTGGGTTTGATTGCCTGGCTCTAGCTCCTGATGTCAGTTTCCCACCAACACAGATCCTGGGAGGGAGTGGTTTTGCTTAAGTAATTGGATTCTTGCCAGCTGTGTGGGAGACATGGCTGGGGTTCCCAGCTCCGGCTTCAGTTCTGGCCCCATCCTTGCCACTGAGGGCATCTGGGGCATCAACCAGAGGATGCCAACTCTGCTCGTCTGTCTCCCTCCATCTCAGCTTCTATCTCTTTCTTGCAAATAAATGAGTAAAAATTACAAACAAAAAGAAAACCACTGAGGTTATAATCTTCTTGGCTGTAACAAATAGCTCAGACTTGGTAGCTTGTACATAGAGCTGGTCTGGGGGACAAAAGACACCAAACTCTGTCTAATGGTAAAGAAAATAAACACTATTACGTAGCTGCTAAATAGGTCTGCCTTTCCAAATGGAAAACATTGCAATCATTTCAGTTTGCCATTGACTTTGGCCAATGCCATTGGAGTAGCACAAATGGAACATAATATAAGAGCATACACATAATGTACTGTTCTAAATTCAAAGAGTGCATTTCTCTTACATGGCTATTCTCTGAAATTTTCAGAGAGATGATGCATAGAATGATGTGGTTATTAAGCTGAAAAGGAACAACAGTAAAACAGGGAAAGAATTACAGGGGCTGATGGGGTTGAAGGGAAACCATTAACTATTATAGGTAGTAGAAACGGAGGAGGATTATAAGAAATCTTGTTAGCTTTCTAGCTTTATGGGAAGACTAAACCTACCAGCGTTTGGAGCTCATAGATAAACATCTTTAAAGAAAGTGAAAAAAAATGCCAGTGTCCAGAGATGGGAAACTCACATGTTTACTCAATAGCCCATTGTTCAGCTATGTTCCTAAGAAAATGACTTTTGTGTAACCTAAATTCCTCACAATGCAGCGAAAGTCTGTCTAAATGATGGTGCTGCAACTATAGGGAAAAAACTACATAACTAGAATTCTTGAGGAATGGGTTGGTTTTATTGTTGTTTCTGTTAAGGGGAAAAATTATTTCAAGTTTTCTGCTCTGAGACTTTTTCTGGGGGCAGGGCTTGGTGATACAGTAGAGGGAAAATATTGTCATCTTTTTTGAATAATCCAGGACTCTCCAGGGCCTCAGAGCTCATCAGAAGAGAGATGATGGGAAGTGGTTAGGCCTGTAGATGAAGGAAGCTGAGAAGACCTGGCTTACTGTTTCTTCACTAGGTACGTATCTTGGAAATAGTGCTTTTTATGGGGTGGGTAGAAAGACCATATCCAAGGCTTCCCTCGGGACGGTGAAAACCGAAGCAATGCAAAGTAAAACAAAACAATATGATTCTGGAAAATTTGAGGGTTGTGACACTAGCTCTAGTTCATCTCAAAATTTGTAATACCTTAATTGATATATAAGTCACATATTCTAAAATATGCCATTTACAGTGCGTGACTCAATGGAAGGTTCCTAGTATATTCACAGGGTTGTGCAAATATCACAACGAATTGCAGAACACATTCATCACCCCCAAAAGAAACCCGTGCCCATAAGCAGCCACTCCCCTTTCTAAACCTCACTTCCTGGCCCAACCTCAGACAGCCACTAAGCCCATTCCCATCTCTATGCATTTGCCTGTTGTAGGCAGTTCATGCAAATGGAAGCTGGCAACATATGGTCTCTGGGGCCCGGGTTCTTTAACTTAGTACAATTTCAAGTTTCAGTGATATTACAGGATGGGTCAATCCTTCCTTTCTTTGATGAATGATACTCGTTGCTACACATACACTGTGTTTTGTTTATCCATTCATCCATCAATGAGATACATATTGTTCTCACTTTTTAGCTATTGTGAATAATGCGGCTATGAACACTGATGTGTAAGTTTTCGTGTGGAGGTAAGTTTTTATATCTGTTAGGTGGACGGACACTTAGGAGTGGTAACTGACCATATTACCCAGGCCACAGAGGAACTGCCAAGCAGAAAGTAGTTGCATCATGTGACATTCTCACCAGCGGTAGGTAAGGGTTTTATTCACATGCCCAACATCTACTATCTGTTTTATTGCAGCCGTGCTAATGGTTGAGAAGTGGTATTTCATTGCGCTTTTGACTTTCGTGTTCCTAATGCCTAACGATGTTAAGCATGTACTCAGGCACTTCTTTGCAATTTCTATAAAGGCTTTGGAGAAATGTCTATTTAATCTCTTTGCTAATTAAAGAATATACTATTTTTCACTATCGAGTTGTTAAATTTCTTGTATATTCTGGATACAAGTTCATTGTCAGATATAAGCTTTGCAAATATTTCTCCTTTCTGATTTTTTTTTCACATTTGTGATGGTGCCCATTAAATCATAACTGCTCTTTAATTTTGACAAAGGCTAATTTGTTTCTTTTTAAATTGCTTTTAGTTTAGCTGCCGTACATGAGAAGCAATTGCCTAAGCCAGTCTTTCAACGATTTAATAACTATGTTTTCTCCCAAGAGTTTTAGAGTTATAACTGTTTTGTTTAAGTCTGTAATGTATTTTGAATTAATTTTGTGTATGATGTAATGAAAGGGTCAAACCTTATTCTTTTGCGTGTAGAAATCCAGTTTCTCTAGCATAATTGTTGAAAATATTATTCTTCCTCTACTAACTCACACAATATTAAAAATCATACATAACTATGAGAAAAATCAGCTACTAAGTGCATATATTTGTGATATCAAATATTGATACTGGAGCCGGCGCTGTGGCATAGTTGGTAAAGCCACCACCTGCAGTGCTGGCATTCCATATGGGCGCCAGTTCGAGACCCGACTACTCCATTTCTGATTCAGCTCTCTGCTATGGCCTAGGAAAGCAGTAGAAGAAGGCACAGTCCTTGGGCCCCTGCACCCGCATGGGAGACCTGGAGGAAACTCCTGGCTCCTGACTTTGGATCGGCGTAGCTCCGGCCATTGTGGCCAACTGGGAAGTAAACTATGGCTGGAAGACCCTTCTCTCTCTCTCTCTCTCTCTCTCTCTCTCTGCCTTTCCTTCTCTCTGTGTGTAACTCTGACTTTCAAATAAGTAAGTACATCTTTAAAAAAATATCGACACTATGGATTTTTCTTCTTCCCCAGGTCATTGTTTGAATTTGGATCAAACAGTTCTTGTGAATTTTTCCCTTGTGTCATTCATTTATTAACAATATGTTTCATATTTATTAGGCAGAACTGGAGACACAGTGAGGAATTTGATGATGTATAACCTGAGGCCATCTCTGTCCTTGGTAGACAAAATAAAACAAGGAGGGACCACAGAAGGGACAAGGACAGGAAATGGTTGTTTGAACAGATTCTTGCCTCTTCTGTCACTCTTCTCCTCCAACACGCCAAAATTAATATGCCAGAGCCTTCAAATAAGCTGCTTCTCTCTGTCGTAAATGCTTTTCCATTTTCTCCTCTCTTGATTCACTTTTATTCTCTCCAGCTCTCCCCTGAACCATCATTTTTTTTCAGGAAAGATTTCCTGATCCCTCAGTTTCATTTCTCTTATTAAATACGTGTGGGGCCCTAGACTCCAGCTATGGAGGACTACCCATGATGTAATGAGATAATTACTTGGGTAATTAGTAGCTCAATGTACATCTCCATTACTGGAGTGGTAGTGTGTGCCATGCCTATATCTTGCTGCTCACTATCATACATGGCTTGAGAGAGAAGCCCCGAGAGTCCACAGACAGTGAGAATCCCAGCTATATTTAACCACTCTGCATCCTTGTAAATCCCCCCCCCCCCCATAAAATGGGGATGACAATGGCATCTATATCACAGGACTTTGTGAGAGTTAAGGAATAATCTCATTGAAGCGCCTGGGGTGGTGTTTGGCACATGACAGTCTGGTGGTTAAAATCTATAGAATGAATGAACGTGCAATCTGCCACACCCAAGGGACCCAGGAGGCCAATGTGCACTTCTCACGGAGGCTCGGAGCCAAGGTGGGATAATGAAGTGGGCACAGTGGCTCCCTGCTGACATTCTGGAACCTCACACTGCCCTAGCTCCTGAGTGAGGGTGCCCACCTTGAGGAGGGAGGGATGACATCTTCCTGAGGCTCTCTCCATAAAGCCACTAAGAACAGCTAGCCCACCTGCATTTTTTTGGCATTTCCACAGAATACCAAGCAACTGGTTTGGCTGATATAAGGAATAGATTTGTGAACCTACATTGCTAGGGCTTGGTGTTTAAAATGATGCTTAAGTGCACCCCATGGGAGACCAGGATAAGTACCTGGCTCCTGCCATTGGATCAGCTGCGGCGGCCATTGGAGGGTGAACCAACGGCAAAAGGAAGACCTTTCTCTCTGTCTCTCTCTCACACTGTCCACTCTGCCTGTCAAAAAAAAAAAAAAAAAAAAGAGAGAGAAATCACTTGGCTAATCCTCCGCCTGTGGCGCCAGCACCCCAGGTTCTAGTCCCAGTTGGGGTGCTGGTTCTGTCCTGGTTGCTCCTCTTCCAGTTCAGCTCTCTGCTGTGGCCTGGGAAGGCAGTGGAGGATGGCCCAAGTGCTTGGGCTCTGCACCCGAATGGGAGACCAGGGGGAAGCACCTGGCTCCTGGTTTCGATTGGCACAGTGCACCAGCCATAGCGGCCATTTGGGGGGGTGAATCAATGGAGAAAAAGGAAGACCTTTTTCTCTCTGTCTCTCTTTCTCACTGTCCACTCTGCCTGTCCAAAAAAAAAAAAAAAAAAAGAAAGAAAGAAAGAAATGTAATCTATATGAGTGAAATTAAAAATAATACTTTAGAGGGAAGAAACTGGAGCCCCACTGCCTGGTTTCACTTCTAGCTCCTTTACCTACCACTTAGGAAAGGTAAACGAGCACTCTGAATCTCAGCTCTTTCTGTCAAATGGAACCACTAGTCATTTCTTCAGTGCAGGGTTGCTGAGAGGATTCCTTGGGACGATGCATATACAGCACAGAACCTAGGGCCTCACACGGCCCACCAGCTCCAGGAACGTGGTTCCATTCAGTTAGTAGTGTTTGAGAGCCTCTGGTTTCTGACGACGTGAGATCTAAAGCCCAAAGTATTAGTTTCATTAAACTCTTGACAATCTTCCAAGGAAAATGAGGAACAAAGGCATATAAAACCCCCTTTAGTGCTATTTTATTGTAAGCTACAGTTAATCAGATTGCCAAATTTTCCATTCATTCCCAAGAAGTCATAATTAGGAAAAACAAACACTGTGTGTGTGTGTGTGTGTGTGTGTGTGTTTTATTTAGGCGTGGTTAAAATTCAGCTTGCTTATTTTTATCTGAGTTTACAGAACACGAAACAAGTCAATCCCTTGAGTATTTTAATTGTTCCAAATGAAGGTAAACGTCAGGTTCCATTCACATCACTCCTGCTCCTTTTGTTGAGGGCCTTCCACAGGCATTGTCCTTTCTATTCCAGAAGGAAGCTGAGCTCTGGCACTCTTCCTGTTTCATTCCTCCTTCCCTCCTTCCCCTCTGCCTCCTGGCCCCACCTCTCCCCTCACCGTCCTCTCTCTCAGTTTTCCTGTGAACTGACAGCCTTCCATCGCTGCGGCAGATGGGAATAATTAAAATACCTATTCTGTAGGGCCGATGGGAGTACTAAATGAGATGCATCGATCCCTTAGAGCAGTGCCTGGCGTGTAGTAAGCGCTTACTCTACATGCTAGTTATGATTATTTTATTTGGATAAAGGCAAATTCTCTATCTCATTCCCTTTCTCTTGATACATTTGATTTTATCTTTCCAAACCTCAAGTCTTGTATTTCTCTTCCTGGTCCTTTCTGCTGGGCCTGGTTAGCAGCTGTCAGTAAGAGGAGAACATCAGAGCTGCTAACACATGATTTGTGTGTGAGACTCCCTACGAGCCAGGCATCAGGCCAGCTTCTCAGATGAGAATCGATTTCCAGCTGGGATGTGCCTGTGGCATTGGTTAGTGCTCGTGTTAGGTCCTGGCTGCTGCTGTCTTGTTAGACTTGTCCCAGGGGTGCTGGGGCAATGGTCTTTGCAGGGCAGGCTTAGAAGCCAGAGTCCATTTCCATGGGGACTAGTCCATCTCCCTCAGGCTCAACTGTGAGTGCCTGCAGCCTTGTGCCCCACATTAAGTAGCGTTGCATAGCTCTCTGGGCTTCAGCGTTCTAAATCAATGCACAGACTGCCTGTTGGCCGCCTCCTGGCGCGGTTGCCTGTAATCCACCTCCCCGGCTGTAAGAAGACTAGGAAAGAGGCTCATGTTCGCCTCTGGTTCTTCCTGTGAGTCTTAAGAGAAGTGGTTCTTGCACTTGAGATGGCAAAAGGCTCACCTTGTTGGATTTCCACTAGAGACCCAGTCTTAGTCAGTCTAGGGGGAAGACCAGGAAATGGCATCCGCCGAGGCACCTCCCACCCCATTTAACCCTTTATTAGAATCATTTCTTTATTTGACAGCTTTCCCCTTTCTCCACCAGTCTGGAGGCAGAAGGAGGCAGGATGTGTGCCATGCTGAGACTTACCACAGCCTTGTTTTTAAGCGTGGCGTCTGTCAAACCTCAGTGTGCACACAAATCACCTGGGAGCTTGCTCAGATGCAGATCTGTATTCATTCTGTCTGGAGTAGGGAGCAAAAGCCTGCATCCCCCCCCCCCCCCCCCCCCCGGGAGTCTCCACCTGCAAGACCATCCGTGCTGAAATCCTGCCTCCACCCCTTGCTGGTGGGGAGAACTGAACAGGGCTCTTCCTCGTCAAGCAGGGCTAGTGACATTACTTCCCTCACAAGGCCTTTTTGGGGTGCCCACAGGACATAATATAGTGGATATATGTAGCCCGGTGGACGCCGAGTACCCAGAAAGTGTTAACTCTTACTCCAGCTGTCATAACTAACTAAAAAAGTCAGCTATCAGAGCAGAGTTCAAGAAATAATTGTGTTGTGGTCAGTGTACTGAGTTTAGCTTCAAACCCCCTGGTTTTACATCCTGGCTCTACCACTTTAAGACTGGGCAAGCGTCTTAGCCTCATGGTGCCAGCTTCCATCTTCTATAAAAAGAGCTTAGAGCACCATCCACCTTCTCGAACCGTTGGGAAGACTGGACAAATGATGCTTCCGACGCCCTCATTCTAGCAGCCGTTATCTTGAGGTTCCCTGTATTGCTACTGTTACTGATCTGCTGGACAGCGTGGGCATAGCAGTAGAAGCTTTTGGGATTTCTGGTCTGACTAATCCAGAATGCCAGTCAGTTTCACCGAGCAGCCTCAGCAGCTGCGAGTCCTCAACACCACCATGCCTCGCGGCTCTTTCTTTTCTCTACTTTATTAGCTTTGTGCTCTTGGAGAGTTACTTAACACCCATGTGCCTTACTTTCCTGATCTGTAAACAGGAAACAGTAGTTACCGCCTACTATTGCTATCAGCACAGAAAGCGTCAGGTAATTAGAACAGAGTTGGGCACGTGGTACGCGCTCTAGAAGAACAATGACAGTCAGGCGCCATGAGGATGACCCTTAGGTAATGAGGGACTGCATATACGACATTGATCCCCTAAGATTATAATGGAGCTGAAAAATTCCTGTTGCCGGGTGACGCTGTCGTAGCCTTAATGCTGTTGTGTAATGTGTTACTCATAATGTTCTTTTGCTTCCAGTCATGTAAAAGTATAGCACTTACTACCAGGTACAGTAAACACTGCTGCATAATGATGACAAATCACTAAGCTACTGGGTTGTATATTTACTGTACTACAGTTTTTATCATTATTTTAGAGTGTATGCCTTCTTAGTTATTAAAAAATGTTTACTATAACACAGGCTCGCGTGTTACTCCAGAAGCAGACTCACGTCTGCTGTACAATTACATCAAGCGGCCACACTGAGTGCCTGACCCACACCACCTGGGTCTGTGTAAGTACACCCTATGATGTTTGCATAATGACAGAATCACCTAACAATCCATTTTTTTCTCAGAATGTACCCCTGTCTCTAAGCAACACATGACAGTATTCTTGTTATTGCTATATTATCATATATTGTATAGATATTAGCTATGATCATCATGTACATTTTAATTACTTTACATCAAGTATATAATTAATATAACATGCTAATATCATATTATCATCCCACTATAATAACTCAGTTGGCTTCTTCGTTCAAAATGTTTTTATTTTCTCTTCATTTAAAAACGATCTAAAATTCTGGCAAAATACACATCACATACTGAAAAGCATCATCAGTCAAGTGTGTAATTCAACAGCACTCACGGCTCCTGTCCTGCCCTGCAGTCGTCCCCATCGCTCATCTCCAGAACTCTTCATTTGGTGCCACTCTGAATCCATTCAACAGTAGCTCCCCTTTGCAGCCCCCACCATCCATCACTCTGCTCTTCGTCCTGATGGCTTTATCTGCTCTACGGACCTCACTGGAGCCGAATTGCACACTGTTTGCCCTTCTGGGACTGGCTCATTTCACTTAGCATAATGTCCTCATGGTCACTGATACTGCAGCACGTGTCAGCACTCCTGTCCCGCAAAAGGTTGGTGGAAAATGGAATTACCAAATAAAGGGCTCCTGGCGCAAAAATATTTTGAAGTCCATGCATATGAGGGGTCTTGAGGAAGTTCAAGGAAATGTATATTATGAAAAACTGCATGGATTTCCACCTTTCTGCACAAAAAGTAACATATCTTTTAATTCAATTTTTCCAAAATCTTTTTGAAGTACCCTGTTATATACCACCTTCAATTTTATTAAAACTTCAATATTAGTATTGTGTTGTTTATCCATTCATTCACCAGTGGGCGGGCACCTGGGTTCCTTCCACCTTTTGGTTATTGGGCATAATTCTGCAGTGCTACAATGAACATGAACATACAAATTCTTCTCTTTGCCATCATATTAATTTTGCAGTAACAGAAATTGGTATATGATGACATATATGTATACACACACATAGTAAGTTTTCCTCTTCCTCAAGTGGTCTCCTAAAAGCTCAGAGTGGGGCCGGTGCTGTGGTATAGCATGTTAAACCACCATCTGTGGTGCCAGCATCCCATACAGGTGCTGGTTTGAGTCTCAGCTACTCCTCTTCCCATCCAGCTCCCTGCTAGTGTGCCTGGGACAGCGACAGTGGGGGCCTGAGTCCTTGGCCCCGGTACCCATGTGGGAGACCCAGGGAAAGCTCCTGGCTTCTGGCTTTGGCCTGGCCCAGTCCAGGTTGTTTCGGCCATTTGGGGAGTGAACCAGCAGATGGACAATCTCTCCCTCTTTCCCCCTCTCTCTGTGCAACACTGCCTTTCAAGTAAATAAATAAATCTTAAAAAAAAAAAAAACTCAGAGATTTGGTTCAGATCTTCCTTCCTCTGGTATTTGAGTAGAATTCCAGTCTCAGGCACACTCAGAAGCTTTGCCTAAGCCTGAGATGCAATGGTCTTCTCAAATGGGGCAGTTTTCCTACTTAAAGTCTTTCAAAACATTTTCAAGACTACACGAGTTGGAGCCTGTCTAGGTGAAATCTACATAAAAGTCACATAAAGGTAAATACTTCTGGTCACACCTTCTAGTACTCAGAAATGTATTTGGAGAGATTTTGTTTTTGTTTTTGCTTTTTCTCTTTATGGAAAGGTTCTTCTGATGTAACTTTAGGCAAATCATAAACATAAAGCGCTACATAAAACACTTTCCAATCCCGAGTCCCACAGGCGAGTTGCCCCACGGAAGTGCGAGCCACACCTTTGGGGAGGCAAGGTTAAGAGTGCGAGCCCTCGGACCACACCACCGGGAGCAAAATCCCAGCGCATGCGCATTGCGGCAGACAGCAGACTGGGAACTCTCTTGAATCCTAACCTTTCAGTGTGTCTAACATGCAGTGAGCGATAGTCCCCAGCTCTCGGGATTACTGTGCAGCCTTCGTGACTTAGTTCTCCTGGGAGACCTGCTTGTCACAGGGCTTGTCACATGTCCCGCACCCCTGCACCCTGCTGCAAAGCCTCACAGCCTCCTGTCACCGCTCCACACAGGCCGTGCGGTCGTCCGGTGGCCTTTTGCCCTGCTCTTCCCTGGGACTGGAGCATCTCCCCCATGCCAGCTCCCTTGCCTTTCTAACCCTATTCAAGACTAGCCACCTGCTTCTGTCTTGAGTTCCACAAATACCCTATGACACTCCTGCCAGGGTACCCATCACCCCACATGGTCGTGCGCTGGTCCACAAGAGCTCACCTGAACGAAATGAACAAAGCACGCACCTGCCTGCTACACTGGAGGCCTGTTCTCAGGCACCCTGGAGAACCCCAGCTGTAAGTTCAATCCTTTCTCCTATGTGTCCTGCAGAGGAGCCTGGCCAGTTCCCAAGCGGACGTTCTGTCTCCCCACGCACTGTCTTGTTGGCTACCAAAGGGTGGACCCATGACAGTTCCTTAGCTTGTCAGGGCTCTGATTCAGCTTTTAGGTGGAGCCACAGAGACATTGAGAAGATTGCTGGCCAGGGTTCTCACTGCTACCTCCCTCTTTTCTTCTTCATCATGGCTTCCGTCCGCATCAGCAGTTCTCTATTCTGCTTCGAGGATAACATATTTGTTCTCATTTCCTTCTGAGTGAACTGGAATTGGCTACTGGGCTTGCTGGTTGGCTACTTTCTCAGAGAGGCTGTGTCTGGTGAAAAGATACTTCTGAGCTATTTCTTCCAATCCATCAAACTTTCTGCCGAATTAATTGTTTTCAAGTTCCTGTAAGATTCATGACTAAAAGTAAATGTTCATTAGGTCTTTTCAATGCCAGACACTGCATGAGTGCCTTACATGGGTTAGCTCATTTAACTTTTACAATAACACTGTGAAATAGAAATCGTAACATCTTCCTTTGCACCTGAGGAAATTAACATGAGGACAGATTAAATAATTTGCGCCAGGTACACAGAACGAGAGTGACAGGGCAGGAACTCAAACTCCGGTCTATAACTTCAAAAGCTGTGCTGTTAACTTTGAGGCTCCTTCACAGCCCTATCATTTTCTGTTATTATAATGTCTCAATTTGAAAGTACCAAATACACTAAAAAATATACGCTTTGTACCCAAAGTCACTTAGCTACTGTGATCTTATTAAACTTGTGCATTTCATACTGCATCCTAGCTTACATGTTATCTTGGGTTTGAAAGGTAAATGGTGCAGAAATATTTCATTTTCTCTTCTTACTTCTGGAATCAGGCATTGTTTTGGATGCATGGCAGCAGGTTTTGAGATTGCCAATGGATACTTAGCTGGATTGGTACCCTGCCAGCAACACTAATTTGATGGTTGTGTTTTTTGTGTGAGCCACTTTGCTTCTCTTGAAGAACTCCAGAACTGACTGGCAGACCTCATCTACACCACTGGTCATCTAGCAAAAACAAGTCTTAGGCATGAGAGATATGGAAGGAGCAGTGTCAAGAGCCCTGCATGCAAATCAACTCTTATTGAATGTCTCATACATAGTAGGTACCATGCTCAGCACTGGGAGTGTGCAGAATAAGGAGTTGAAAGCCCTTCCCCCACTAAATTGATGCTATGCATACAAATACTCAGAGGTAACCAAAAAAACCAGCTTAGCTTAAGGCCCAAGAAAACAAGAACTCGTACAGGTATTGTTGACACACTGTTGGATGAGATTCTTGGCTGGAACATGAAATGGTAGAAGCAATATTCTCTTCTCTTTGCTACATAATCTGTTTTTAGGAAAGCATTTTCCACCCAGCCTGATACCAATAGCAAACACTGTTAATGTTTTGTTGCCTTTTCTTTTCCCTCTCTATCTCGATAAATTCTTGAGGTGTGAGTTTACTGCTGTTTTCCATAAGAGCCACAGGCCATTGATGAGTGATGTGGAAGGGTGAGAACCCAGGTGAATAAAGCTGGGGGTCCTGGGTGTGAGCTGTATGGGAAGATAGCTTTCAAATGACTCAGACAAGGTTGTTATGTGCAGAAATTCTAAGAGCTAACTAAACAGAAATTTATGCACCCAAGATGCTAATTATGACTGCACACATATGAATAAACCTAAGGAAGAGGAATGGGAACATGTCCAGCAGGCACGGTGAATAGATTTAACCTCAAATACCAACTCAGACAGAGTGGCAGCTGAAGCTGTAGCACTATTTGAGCGGGATCCTGAGACTTATCTAGAATGTTACTGATAACAGATTAAACCCTAACTATACTGATGTTGGATCCAAATTCCCTTGTTCTGTGTAACTTTCCAACTGTTGATTGGATTAGGATAAAAATAATCTTGATATGCAAGAGCAATGAATCAAAACATAAAAGATAAATACTAATAATAACTATGTATTCCTGAATTTAAATTCATAAATCAGTGATGGGTTACATTTTTGGATTGGGGAAACTTGATGTGATAGAAGTTCATGAAAAATGACTTGACTCTAAACTCCATATGATTCAAGAGGATCGTGTGGGTACAACATATCCTAGAACAATGGGGGCCTCCTAGAGTTAAACAGCCTGCCCAACCTTAACCATTCTGTGGTAACTGAATTTTAGAATGTCTCTTCCTTCTAGAGTTGGATATTCTCTCTCTCAGAGAACTCAGGAGCATGTCCATATGGGAACCAAGGGGGAAGGTGCCTAGAAAAGACCAGGAACTCTTTATTTTTTTTTTTTTTATTTATTTTTTTTTGACAGGCAGAGTGGACAGAGAGAGAGAGAGAGACAGAGAGAAAGGTCTTCCTTTGCCGTTGGTTCACCCTCCAATGGCCGCCGCGGCCGGCGCGCTGCGGCCAGCGTACCGCGCTGATCCGATGGCAGGAGCCAGGAGCCAGGTGCTTTTCCTGGTCTCCCATGGGGTGCAGGGCCCAAGCACCTGGGCCATCCTCCACTGCACTCCCTGGCCACAGCAGAGGGCTGGCCTGGAAGAGGGGCAACCGGGACAGAATCCGGCACCCCGACCGGGACTAGAACCCGGTGTGCCGGCGCCACTAGGCGGAGGATTAGCCTAGTGAGCCGCGGCGCCGGCCGGAACTCTTTATTTTTGAAACAGGCCAGATTTGGAACCAGTAAAAAGAAAATGCATCAAATGATTTTGCAAATGTATGGGTCTTTGAAAAGCATGAAATGTGTTTTGCCCCATGTGCTCTATCCTTAAACACACCCACATGTACTTCAGGAAGAATTTCATCCATATGTTATATTCATTGGAAGTTAACTCATCAAAACCCCTATTGTGTCAGAACCATTTGATTTCCAAATTGCCATTTAAGTTGTTCCAAAAAAAAAAAAAAAAAAAAAAACCTCTCAAAAGCTTATTTTCTTGAGCTAGGATATGGAGTTTGGTCAAAGAAATGAAGAGAAGGTAGATTCTTCCAGTCTGAGCTTGACAAAGAGGCCACGCAAGTGTTCTAAGTTTGCTAGAATCTATTCTTTCAAAACCAGGTTGACCTTTGCCACTCTTCTTTAAGGATAATGATAATGAAGCTGATGACTGATGCCGATGGTTGCTGATGATTGTGGTTAATCATCTGATTGGGTTTGGGTTATTTTCTGATTGCTCCTGGAACTAACTTTTTCCTAATAATTATGATGGCAAAAATAGAGCAGGCATAATAACTGGAAGAGAAAGAAAGTAGCCAGTGGTAGTTGGGATAAAAGCATTGGCACATATAAAGGACATTAAGTTTTCAGATAGAAAACATAGTTTGTGAACAGAGTTTTTAAGCAAAAAACCATCTAATTAGCTCCCTCTCAGT